GGATTTTTTTTACATGTATTTCTCTATGAGCTACTGAAGAATTATTAGAGTCTGTGTTTGGTCTATTGTGGCACAGAAGTTGCTAATAAATAATTTCCTGCATGCTGTGTTGCCTTGCTTGTAATGCTAATAACTAGGGGAGCCCACTGATCGTGCTTATTTCTTGTTCTTTTTGGTTGTAAAAGAATGAAAACTTGGCAATAAGATTTCTTAATGAACTATATTGCTGCTATTAGTGTTCTGCAATGAGCTCGTGAAGATAACATTGTTTAGGGTAAGGCTTTGTCTCGTTAGAACTGAATAGAAGTTGAACTATAGTAGAGGACTGCTTGAGGATTTTAGGCCAGAAGTGAAATTCAACCTGTCCTGGGATGAAGCAATCAGCTTCAATTAGTTAAGGCTAAGTCAAACATAGAAGTGCAAGACTTCCTGGATTTGTTGACGTCCATACTCTGTCTCTGGGTGTTCAACTTTAAATGAAAATCTGGTGCACTCCTATTAAAAAATGTAACTCTAGACTCTTATACTATGGTCCAGAATTTGAATTTGGAGATCCTGACTTATTGAAACCTGGTTCTCTGGGATTTTATGAATATCATCTCTCACTGAATTTGCAACAATATATGTGATCTAGTTAATCGTGAGTTGGAAGTACAGTTTTAGTTATGGTTGGTAAGAAGGCTGAAGCATTAAGGTGCACAAACATTGCTGAAAGTAACTATTTCATCAGGTTGGAAGAAGCAGTCACTGAAATTTATTAAAGATTACAGAGCAGCTCAATAGTAGTTTCTCAGTTAATGGAGTTCTGGTTGTGTATGGGAAACTTGACTCAAGGTCATCCATGTTCACGGTTGAGAAAAATTGCGTTGATGGTGATAAGGTTCGGCCTAACCTGGAAAATTGTAATGGGAGTGTAAATTGAGAACGAAATTATACTGAAGATGATTGGTTAGATATAAAAATGTTAATACTTGGGATCTCGTGGTGGATCTTTTTGAAAAGAGGTTGGCGGGGTGGAAAAGGGCGTTCTTATCTAAAGGGGGTAGGCTCACTTTGATTAAGAGTACTCTTGCAAACCTACCTATCTATTATCTTTCTATATTAACTATCCCTGCTAGAATTGTGCATAAACTTGAGAAGATTCAATGCCAATTTCTTTGGGGCGATGATGGGGGTGATAGAAAGTACCACTTGGTTAAGTAGAATGATGTGAAGAGACCCATTAGAGAAGGGGGGCTGGGGATAAGATCCATTAGAGAGATGAACACTGCTCTCCATGGAAAATGGCTTTGGAGGTTTTCTATAGAGAAGGAGCGGCTATGGAATCAAGTTATTAGGGCAAGATGGGGTGATTGGGAGAGGGAAAGTCGGAGGAGGGGAAAGTTCAGACAGATTGGGATGGGGTTATGGAAGAAAATCAGGGAAGGAAACAACACTTTTGAGAAATGTTTAATTTGGCAGGTTGGTAATAGAGAGGATATTCAATTCTGGTTGGATGAATGGGCTGGGGAGTTCAAACTTAAAGATAAATTTTCTTGAATTTTCTCTGTGGCCAACGACAAGGAGATGAGCGTGAAGGAAGCCTATGAAGTTGGTTGGGGGGGTAGGGTGTGGACTGTTCCGGTCAAGCATAATTTGCAGGATTGGGAAGTGGAGGAGTGTGTGGAGCTGTTACTGTGTTTATCTAATATTAACATTGCCGAGAATAAGGATAAAAGAATTTGCAAGTTAGACAAAAAGAGGGGCTTCTCTGTTAGATCATACTATGAATTCATTACTAAGAGAGAGAACAACAACACCCATTCTGCCCCTTTCATACAAATATGGAAATCTAAAGCTCCACCCAGAATCGGATTTTTTGCTTGGGAAGCGGCTAAAGAGAGGATTTTAACAATTGACATGCTTAGAAGAGGGAATGTGCTGATTAACAGGTGCTTTTTATGCAAAGCCGATGAGGAGACCTGTTATCACTTGTTATTGGGCTGCCCTGTCACTTACAACATTTGGTGTTCTATTCTGAGGCTTATTGGGGTGGATTGGGTTATGGCGGGTAGTGTAAGTAATGAACTGTGGGCTTGGGAGGGTTTGGTAAAGAAAAAGGGAGACATTTATTTCTTATTCCACTTACTATTTTTTGGGTGATTTGAAAAGAAAGAAATACTAGAGCTTTTGTGGGAGGTAGAGACTAATTTTGGTAATATTAGGGATAGATGGATATACACTTTTGGATCTATCTTGTTGAGTCATGATATTAAAGATCTTGATGATATGGGTGCGGTCATCGACCAATTGATAGATTTGTAACTATTTTGTATATGGGTGGTATCCCCCTGTTACTTTGTGAATAATAATATTTTACTTTTATTTCAAAAAAAAAATGATTGGTTAGAGAGAAAACTACTATAGACTTGTTCCCTTGAGGAGAGTAGGAGAGCTTTGAGGAAATCGTCCTTTAAAGTTCACCCAGATAAAAAATAAGTCCCCTGCTAAGAATTGAAGTGTTTGAGCGGTGACAAGTCGAGGAGGTAGCATGATCAGTTGGTTTTGTTAATGATTTTGAATACGACCAGTGGCACAATATTGAGCAGGGTAGGAGATATGCTCATGACAATATAGAGCACAAGATCTTTGATTTGTTGAAATCAGATATGGTTAGAATTTGGAGAAAGCTTAAATAGGCAGGTGACATTGTGGAAGCCTGGATCTAATAGTAGTGTGTGTTAACAAGATATTCTGACATTAAGGAAGCCTGGATCCAAGAGGACTGTTAGGTCAGGCACCATTCTATGGAGGCGGCCCTCGGTTTATATACTGATATTGTCAACATTGGTGAAGGAGAGTATTCATAAGGCAAGTATGCCTTCATTTTGCTTTTGGTCATGTGCTGTAATAGTGCAATATGCAAACACCCTTGTTTTGTCAGAAAAGCATAAACAGTGACCATACTTGTTTCCCTCCTAAGGTTCGTATAGTTCTAATTTGAGGACAGGTTTTTCTGAAGTGGAGAAAAATCAGATAACTGACCTGCTTTTTTATCTGTGCTATATATTTTATGTGTGAGTATGGATGGCTTGAATAGTAGTACTGAATCCCCATCCCCTCACTTGGATTAATCACTGTGATGATCATGGTGAATTGAGCAGATGATGAGTCCAAAAGATTGATAGTCGTGGAACTGATATTATTAATGATAATGTGGTCATATACTAAAAAGCTAATAATAAAAAAGAAGAGAGGAGTAGGAAAAAAGAAAATAGATTTTGTACTAGATAACATTAGAGCTGAAGTGGAATTTGTAAAAAATCGAAATTTGTAAAATTTATTCCTCTTCTATTTTTTGGGTAATTTGGAAAGAGAAAAACAATAGAGCGTTCGAGGGGTTTGTGAGGGATATGGCCAATATTAGGGATAGGCGGATTAATGTTTTTGGAACTCTTTTGCCGGGTCATGATATTTATGGGTGGGATGATTTTGGGAAGGTTTTTGATGTTCTAACTAAAATGTAAATATTTTGTATATGAATGGGCACCCTATTGGTGCCATATACCATATACACATTCTTTTTATTTAAAAAAAAAAAAACTCTCACATATGTTGAGTTTGATTTAAATTCCAATTCTATGGAATAGGAATGAGAATAGAGTAAAAATATGATAGAGATTTGAATGAACATGTTATCATATGATAGAGATAACTCTAACTCAATTTTACATATAAAAGATACTAAAATAATTAAGTAAAAGGACCTGATAGAGATTGAACAAAAATGGTTATCGTATTTGCCATATAAGGGTCGTGGTACTATCTCAGTTACTTTGACTTTGGTTTAAATTCCAATCCTATGGAATAAGAATGAGAACATAGTACAAATATGATAGAGATTTGAATGAAAATAGCAGTCTAATTCCAAGTTACTCTCATTCAAAGTACAAATATGATAGAATTTGAATGATAATAGCAGTCTAATTCCAATTTAATTTCATTCCAGTTCAGATTAAGTGTTTTGGTGCGTCCTTCCTGACAAATGGCTATATGAAATTCATGATTGTGAAATTGAAGATATTAGTGAAATTTGTTTAATCACACATTAAATATGTAAATTATAACTAATTTTTACATATCAAATAACTAAAATCTAGGAATTCTATGGGAATAAAATAGGTGTGAACCAAAGGCAGTGTTAGATTAAGGTGCTAGATTTAGTTTTCAACTAAAAATTAAGAGGATAGGCTTTTGAGAAACAAATTCTATTCTACGACACTTGGTGCCTCTTATTGAGCTGCTTATGCCTCCAGTCTAGCCTCTGAAACGTAACTTACTTTTGAATATCAGATGTTGCAAGTGATGGTGGATTATTTCCTATTTCTATGTTTTTAACTTTCAAACAGCTAGATGTTTGGAGTTCAGATTAACTTCTAAACGCAGTTTTGAATTTGATAAAGCTAATCCTAGATAAGTCTTTATGAAATGTTACTAGGAAAGTTCAAATTCCATCTTAAAGAGATTGGGTTATTTCATAAGATTAACCTTTGCCTGAGCCAATCACCATAATAGAAAAGCCAGATGTCTCAACCAAAATGTATAACAGACCTACACTTTCACTAGTTATTTCGGTCTGTATTTCTGAAGATATTTGACTGAAACATTTTTAAAAATTAGTTTCTTCATGGATTTTTGTATTTCCTGCAATTTTCTTAATGAGGACTAAAGATTCTTATGGAATATTTTGGATAAGTTGATCAATTGTGACTGATGATTCTCATGGAGTATTTGAGAAGTTGATCAATGAGATGCTAAAAGATTCTTGATATCCTTTTCTGTAAATGCCACAGGGTCGACTGATGCAGATGACCATGATGGCTACACCCAACATCAACAAGGAGCTGCATTATCTCAACAAGGAAGACAGGTTGCTGCGTTGGCTCCTGGTTAAACACCGTGACACGAGCTATAGGCTGGATTTTCTCAGTGAAGAAGATGGAAAGGCGGATCTCAGCAAATTTCCCCGGAGTAGGCTATTTGATGATGAGGAAACTGATGAAGAAGATAGTGATGAGGATGAATATGATATGGAGGAAGAGCAGAAAGAGCAGTAATGGGAATTGACATTGATTATCCTGCCCTTTGTTTTACTGACTTTATGCTTGATTTGCAATTCCAAATGTGTATTTTGGTTTTGCCTTGGATATCAACAAGAGCATGCATTGATGTTCTAGGAAACTGGTTTAAATTATTTTTGGTATCCTGAGAGAGGTATATTTGATTTCTTCTAGTGCTGAAAGAACTGAAGGTAGCAATATCTTAATCCTTGAATTTGAAAATAAAAGGTGTAAAAGAGAGTTTAGAGTAAATAAGTTATTTTTATAAAATTTATTTGAAAATTGTATGTATTACATGAAAATGCTTTATAAATATATGTTTATGGAAGTATGAAAGAGTTAAATACTTGTAAAATAATTATTTTCTATTTATTTATTTTTTTACTCTTTCACTATAATCTAAATTAGTCTGTAGTTGATGATAACTAATAATTTAATAATTCTGTCTTCAAATTAAATATATATTTACTAAATTATCATTAACCTAATAATTAAGTTAAATAAAATAAATTGTGTCTTCCCTAAAAAGGTAAATATCAATATGAAATACGAAAAGTTAAATATCCTGAGATACAGTCAAATACGAAGACAAAAAGCTCAAAAAGAGAAAAAAAACAGCAGAGGGTTGGGGGCAGAAGAAGAAGAAGAAGAAAATAAATTATCAACAAAACATTTTCATTTTTAAAATTCCAAAATGAAGAAATCAATATGAAATTTTGCAATTCTGGATATTACTATTAGACTTAAATTTACCATTTGTTTGGATAATGGTGAATGGTAGAATTTTAATATATGGTATTTCATGGGCGTGAAAAAACCGTGTTTGTTTCAACTTTCAATAGTAACAAATGGTATTTGACTGGCAAATTTTGGGATGAATTTTTAAACCATCCAATTGGTGGTATGTGATCGGCATGCTATTTTTTTTTCCTTATACCCCCATCTAATTTAATTAATTTCATTTTTATCCTAACAATTAAAAATCCTATTTTCTCTTCTTCCCCAATCAAGTCGCACGCAGGGAAGACGAACAGCTCCAATCTTCTTCTTCTTCGATTGATATTTGCTTGTTCTTCTTCTTTGATTGCTTCCAAACGTTGGTTCATTGATTTTACTTCTGATTTGCATTCTTCGCCTTTTCGATCAATAAATATTTTTGTATTTTTTTCTTTGACTTTTCCAGCATCAATTTCTTTCATTTTTTTTTATTTGCATGTATTTCTTTCTGTAATAGCCTAGATCTGTGAGGCAGGGTGAGATGAATGATTAGGATGAGATGGGTGAAATCAACGACTGTGATGTGGAGTTGAGATAGGTATAAAAGCGGGTGTTGGGTAAAGAAAGGGAGGGAAGAGGAGAAAGAAAAGAGAGGGAAAATAGAGGGTGCGGAGTGAGAGAGGGAAACGCTTGCGAGAGAGGCAGTAAGCGAGTGTGGAAGGGGAACTACTCGGAAGTGCGAGAAGATGGTGAGGTCGCTGTAGCTTTAGGAGATAGAGAAGGATGGAAGCAAGAGATAAGAGAAATTAGGAATTTCTAAACTAATTTAGAGCAAACCACGGTGAGATTGTGTGTGCAGGTTAATGGCGGTGCTCCTCGTCAACGAGATGGAAGTCGAGTCGCGATATTAGCTGAGGAAGTGCAAGAGTAGTCGAGGTTTGAGAAAGGAGAGGGAGTAAGCTGTAGAGAGGGTTGTACATGTGGACAGTCGATTGTGTGAGGGAGAGGAATGAATGGGAGGTAGTGTGAGGACGGGAACGGAGCTTGTGGATGATGAGTTGTGTGTAACCGAGGGGTGAGATAACTGTGAGAGTGGGATACATTGTTGTATAGGTATAAGTATAGGCGACGGGTGATTGGTGGCGAGTGTAGGTTCAGTTGTGTGTGTGTAGGGCTACTTGCTGAGGGCGACACCTTCTGTTGTGCAGGGATGGTGGCTCGTGGGCCGTATGTGTGAAGCTGTAGATGGAGTTGGGTTTACGTGATACAGTGGGGAAGGGCACTCTGTGGTGTGTGTATGTATAGGTATTTAGGTGTGGGAGGCCTCTTGGCTGGTGTTTATGGATTTATACTAGTGTAGAAATCAGTGGCACGCTGTGTGTGCATGTGTGTCAGTTGTGTGTGTGTAAGGCCTTTGGCCAATGCTTGCAGACATAAATGTGCCGATATGATAAGTAGTGGCATGTTGTATTTATAGCCGCTCAGTGGTCGATATGGCACTCCCTTGGTCAGGTGTGTGGGAGGCCGTTTGGCCGATGTTAGTGGAGTTTGATGGGGCCATTTAGTGGTCGTTGCTGCGGGAATAGCAGTGTGTATTTGACGTTGTGGTGCGGTAATGCACGGGGCCATGTAACAGTCGATGGGAGGATTGTGTTTACTATTGGGGCGGGGCCCCGGGAGGCAGCAAGTGTGTGTGTGTGTGGTCTTGGTGGATCGGTCTTTGTTGAGAGGGTGTATGGGTGTGGTGTATGGACTACCGGAATGGTGTCGAGTT